TTTGTTTGAATCAGATTGATTTTTTTTTACAAAGCACGATTTATCCCTCCCTAAGAAAATTTACTTGTATCTGGGTTGGCCATTCTTTTTTATGAAACAAAGCAGGACCAACTCTCTCAATTTGTCTTTTAATTTGGAATGGGGAATACTTGTGTAAAGTGAAGAAAATTCAAATGTTTTAATAAACATTGCAAGATGAAAGAGTCTTAGATTATATGTACTCTTATAGATCATTGGAATTTTTTAGTATCCCATCTGATTCACGACGCCTCTAGAATAGGTAGTTTCACAATAACTTCGAAGCCCGGATTTAGTTGCTGAAAAAATTGATAATAATTTAGAAAGAGGTTTCATTGCGCACTTGGAAGACCCAGCAATATAACATTGTTTGTAGGACACTTTTGTAATTTAGGTAACCAATACAGTGAAAGAAGTTCCAGTTCTTCATCTTTGGTTGACATTCGAAAGGAACATGGAAAAAAGTAAAATAACAAGAATACTGAACTCCAAGGGAAATCCAAAACGGAAAGTCCTTTATAAAATGGCATAATCAAAAGCTCAAACACATTTAACGAATTGAAAACAACTGTCATATTCCTGATTTGGTACAGGCATTTCCTTATGTAGAAAATGGTAGATTAAACCTGGTTTTATAGCTAACTAAACCTCTCACTTGTATGACAGTCACATAGAATTCCATTATATTGACAACAATGTGCGAGCAAATCAAACAGACGCAACAGGTAAAAACGTCAAAAATTGGGATACAGCAGTCAACATTGTAATATAATCTTAATCATTATAAAAACAAATAACTGTTTCAACAAAGAAACAGAAAATGGCATATAGACAAAGTACATAGGCACAATATGAAAGACAAGAACTCAAAATTGACTATAGCACAATAACACAATCGGGCAGGATGTATAAATACCGATCCACGTCATAAGTATATAATCAAAAATGGATAAACAGTTAAGGTTTGAAATATACAAGGAAAAAAAGGGGAACTTTAACACGTAATTAAGATGATAAAAAACGTCAGTACCTGGAATCTATACTTCAAGACCATCATATATTATTTGTGAAGTTTCGGAACAGACCTATGATTATCCATATTTTCTTCTTTGATAATACCTAATTCATTTATCAAGCTATTTATGTAATGTGATTTTCACACAAAAACTATGTTATTTGGGGCTTGATCAATGGGAACAACAACATATTTGTCATGGAGATAGGACAGGTGCTTTGCAACATTTGGGTCTTTAGATATTGATGTAGCATGTGTATTCATAGGACGACCTCACAGCCTTATCCATTCGAAAAGAGTATCTTCGTCTTTTGTCTCGCGTTTTACCCGCGTTGCCTGGCATAATCCTAGACTGAATCCATCAGTATTTTGAAGTTGTGTTTCCAATTAATGAATTTAGGCTCACGATATTTCGGGCCATTGGATAACACTTTTCACAGAGAAGTGTTATTGACAATGTTTATGTCACCAGTAATAACGTGGCTAGTCGGATTATATATGAATGAAAATCTAGAACAGGTGCAATCAGGAGGTTTAGACTTGAAGTCGTCAATATTGAGATCCTGCAACACGTGTTTGTAATTGAAAATTTTAGTTGCGATTGGTTTGGAATAGGTATAAGAAATGATAAGTACAGAGCTAGCCTGACTTTAAAATAGGGGGTATTTTCGAGTGAATTGATTTTTTGATGAAGGATATTGCCCAAGTTGATGGCATCGAGACCTTAAATGCGATAATGTAAATGCTATAAAAATGTCTTAGATATAAACTTTGACATGGAAAAACTAAGTAAAGGCACGTATTATCACAGGGACTATATTACATGGAAATCTCAGCAGAGAGCAAAATGATTACCATAAGAACTTTTTTGCAGATACTCAAATAAATTCATCATAGACACCAGGCTTAAAAGACTCATCGGTGACGCTCGAATAAAAAAAGTTTACGAATACCACAGGGTCAATAACTGAAAAAATCAAGACAAGACGGGTACTGCAGGGACTATGTCACTATGTCATAGAAAATAAGTTGACATGTAAGGTACCACAGGGACTTTGAAGTAGAAAATAAAGTGACGACAAGAAGGGTATACAATATAGGGACGTTGACGTAGAAAATGAAGTACAGACAAGAAGGGACAACAGGTATTTTGACGCAGAAAGTAAAGTTAATGTAAAAATGAGGAGATGTGGTTGTGATTTCAAATGATACAACTATTCACCCGAGTTAAAATGAAGTGGTAGTAAGCAACGAGAAAACTAACGGCCTGATTTAGAACAAAACAATTTACGAAAAACAAACATGACAGACATGAATCAAAGACAAACACTGTACTGGAGGCTCCTGACTTGGGACAAGCACATACAGAATGTGGCAGAGTTAAACATGTTTGTGAACGCTCAACCCTCCTATAACCTAGGACAGTGCTGTAATAGCATAAAATAAGAACAAATTGTAGAAATAAATTGCGTTTGGCTTAACTCAAAAGGCGGTAAAAGAAAACCACAGTGATATTGACGCAGAAAAATTAAGTAAAGACAACAAGGGAACATAACTGATTTCGACGCAGAAAATAAAGTTAAAACAAGAAGGTACCACCGGGACTTGGACGTAGAAAATAAAGTACTGACAAGAAGGGCAGACGTTGACGCAGAAAAGTAAACAAAGTAAATAGTGTAGGGGGTAGCAAAGCATAAACTTTAATTCCATATAATAAATGTGTTGTTATACATTGTCTTATCATAAACGACTGATTGGATTTTGATGGAGCTTCATAACATCTTCACAATGCTCGTTATCTATACAATGTTTATATTCAGGTTCTTGTAAATTTTCATTTTTGACTTTCTTACGGAAAAGAGTGGACTGTACAGTTTCAAGTGTATTATAACTTTGATAACTCATCAAATATCACTGAAAATTTCTCGAAAATATATTACTTGTATCCTCTATTGAACAGTCTTCAATAAAACTGAATGAACTCAATGCAATCGTGCAGAAACTTTCATAAAATATATGAAATAGTCTTTAAACAAGTCTAAATTGAAAACAACGTTCAAACCTATGATTGCGTTGGATAAAAACCGCAATTTTTATACGTGTGCATGCAAAACAATTTTTTTTGTAGAGGGGTCTAAATACAGCACAAACAACATTTTCCAAAAGACCAAAAAAGTGAAAAAGTATATTTTAACAAAACGCATTTGACTAGCAGGTCGAACAACGGATGTTCTTAAACCCTGCTGACTGCCATTGGCGATTGCCAAATAAACGGATCACCGGTGAGATGTAACAAAATTTATCTAATTATTCATTTAATACCAAACAGAAAACAATAAACTTGCGGAAAAGATGGTATACCGCAAACAAAAGGTGCAAAAATTAGTACACCATATCCAGATTTCGACAATTAATGTCTCTTCAGTGATGTTAGGAATCGAGACGGTATTTGGAAGGCCATATAATTTACCTCAATTTTGGATAGACTCTTGAATTTTGAAGAGTCGAAATAGGATGAACGGATCATATAAACCCGAAGGCAAATATAATACAAGCCCAAACGAAAAAAATATAAACAAGTCTAAATTGAAAACAACGTTCAAACCTATGATAGCGTTGGATAAAAACCGCAATTTTTATACGTGTGCATGCAAAGTCTTTATATATTCGGCTATCGAAATTTACAGAAGTCCATTAATACCCTAATAATGGACTTCTGATATATCTATAATTAATTTCTCATGGTGAAGTTCGTTAAATTGCTAGAATTTCAGCAGAACATTCGTAAACCAGAAATAGCTGTATCTTTTGACGTCTGCTTCAAACAAGGCAAAACTTAATAAATTGCAATAAACTTAACTTTTTTGTATCGACGAACAGATTTATTATTTTCGTATTAAAGAAAATGTTAAAGGAACTTTTCAAAGTCTGTAAACTGTTGAAAAAAATAAAAATATTGACCTTGTTGTACGCAAAACTGTACCAGATATATTCTTTGAAGACGACGACATTTAAAAAGCATACATCCGGAATTAAAACTGTATGATATAGCAATATCGCATTTGCTTACCAGCACTATAATTTGATGGTAGTCGTACGATGCAATTAATATTCACTTTTGTTAAATGGTGTTCTCAATATATACAGGGGATTTGAACTTCAAAAATGACCGCAGTAAAGCTGTTAAATTTTCTATTTTCGCTTGATCTGCGAGCAATAGACCATGTATTTATTATTCGTGCGACTACTATTGCATAGTCTCAGATTATAATCCCAGTCTTGGATAACGATCCCATAATATAAGCAGCTTTGTTGAAGATCTTTTGAGCTTGAACCTGGTCTCGTTTGTGATAAACAAAATGTTAAAAGAGTTATTTAGCTCTAAATACTTGTAATACACTTTGTTTTTGAACTTGAGTTGGACGATATTCAATCTAAAACAAACAGATTTGCCCCGTTAGTGAAAAAAAAAGAAGAAACTATTAAACATACATATTGACGGACACTGAGACTAATATATGTGTTATAGTGGTCTCAGATGGATATAACAACATATTTTGATCAAAAGTTTCAGTTGTTGTACATAACTAACCAATTTACGGGAGGTACATGATGATCTTTTATTTCCACATGTATTGAATAAATATCAAACAATTTAACCCCATGTATCGATCAGCTGAGAAATTTGTTCTTTATTTTTGTTCACTGATAGACTTTATATGTCATATACGGGTAATAATTGTATAAATGACAGATTAATGAACGTGTGTACTTTAAATGTAACGTGTGATATATTGTTTGTTACAGTTTAAGATATGGGATATTAATATTTGATCTATTGTAGTAGTTCATTAATCCGTATTATACAGACAATTTAACTGGGTACCGTTACCTTATAATATTGCATACCGAAATAAATAATCGTTTTAAATTCAAATTTAATTCGGGTAGAGTCTATTCCGTTGGTAGGTGATTTAAAACATAACTTTTAAATCATAGAAAGTATATGTACTTGTAGATTCTCCCTTAACAACATTTGAATGCGTCAATCAATATGAGTTAAAAAAAATACCCATTTCCGAATGAATTAAGTGTATTGACATTGCAATGATTTGAAAGTAAATAAGGAATTGATCAGTTAAGAGATTCTACATCAGCCGCCAGCATGTCATTGGATTACAGAAAATACACCTATCGTCCAAAAAGACCAGATACACGGTTCCGGTGAGTACGATGTCTCAGCAGGTGTTAATAAATGATTAAATTGTTCACATTCGACTGGTATTCTTTTACATTCTCTCCATTACTTTTCGTTGTATCTCTATTACTATAAGGTAGTTTGGTGATTTTATTTTTCAGGAGTACAGGAACAATTGAAACATAAACCATGGTCATCTTGGTTTTTTTCCCCAGCAAATATATCGCTATCCTATTGCATGATACGCTCATCTCCGATTATGATCTCTCATTGAATTTAAACGCGAGTAAAGCGACGGTTTTAACTAATGGCGAAGGAACTACGGACCTTTCCAGAGCCCTCGTTGAGTTCGTGGTCATTTTTTTGTTGTTGGAAGATTTGATGTTGATCGGCCTCTTGTTTACTGTGTAGTGTTGGTTTTATGAAACATTTTCTTCGTCTTTTCTTTGGCAATGACATTGTTCTTCCGTTGCGTTTTAAATGTCTGTCTGATTTATTGGAATACAAAAACAGCACTTGTTAATTCTTTGATCATCTGTTAATTGCGTTTACCAGAGACGTATATATATATGTCTCCGCGTTTACTAACTCATATCATACGCCCTCATGAAACAATATAACAGTAACCTTCCAATTTCAGAACAAGCTATTCACAGATGTCCCAGTGGATGTCAAAAACACAGAAGCAAAACAGAGGACTCCCTGATGCCATGCAGATGTCGTTACCAAACGTGATGAGAGATTTGCGACCAGTCAACTCTAACAATGACATGGTAGCGTTCGGTAGTGCTCCACTCCCTGGTGCTGCCATGGCTTCGGTAAGGATTAAAACTTTAAAACTTTGGCTTATGCACATTAGTGATTTAAAAATTATGACGATAAAGGATGTAAGTGTCTATTGTTCGGATAATTATAGTAAAAATTGTATTATTTAAAACTGAAAAATGAAAAATTGGTCTTTTAAATATGTTGGAACTGAAATTCAAAGATAGAACACCGATTAATATAACATGCAAATTAGAACAGTGCCCCTGGAATATTATATAACTATGTACTAGCAGATAAGCCTACATTTTACATTAAAGTAAACTTCTGTTGCCAAAACACTTTCAGGTTTAGAAAGCAAAATTGGATTTATGTTTCAAATAAGAAAAAAATATATCTAAAACTTGAGCTACAAATTCAAACTGTTAAATTATTTTTTCCGGTAGCACTACTCTGGAAACGACTATTTGTGGTATATACTGATTTAATTCCCATTAAATATTAGATAGACGAAGACGTGCCACCACATCTTAGATACTCACACAATGCCGGTTATGATGACTACCACAAAGCATTTAGAACTGTCAGCAACCAATGGCCATCCACCAGTTACCCAGTATTCGGACCTCCAAGGTATAACTATATTATTTAGATTGTTGAATTACTTATTCCATTAGTAGTATTCCTTTAGTTATCAATAATGAATTGATAAATAGCGACTTCTTACATTTAAATGCTATTCAGAATTTAAAAAAAATTGTCTAATTATTAAGTTATAAGCGGCAACACATGAAAACACGACCTGTGAAGATTTGAAATAGACAATATTCCTAAACTAGAAAAGCCACAATCACGAAATGATTTATAGTGAAATGGCATCAGACTATACTAATTTTTGGGACATACTGTTGCGATATGTAAGATCTCATCACATTAGTACATTAACATCCGTCATGATAAACCTTCAAAATAAGTAAATGGCACATTCAACAATAAACAATAGGGTAGGGCAAACATATTGGTCTTGTTCGCGTCATTTTTTCTTAGCAACTTCATGGCAGGACACCTATTAGCTTTATTACAAACTTCATGAAATCACAATAGATCAGTATCTAATGAAACCAATAACAACCATGACAGAAAACTGGTTAAAGTGCCAGTCCATTGTGTATACTGGGAAATAAAAGATATCAACAACCGAGTGAAGTTTAGTGTGCATGACAACTTCAGTGGAAGTTTATTTGAAAATAAGGAGATGAGATTTGATTGCCAGTGAGACAATTATCCACCAGTGAACAAATCACAATGATTTAATCAACTATACACAGTTTGGTATGTCAAATAAATGAATCAATTTACGGTTACTACCGAATTTGATATCTTCCTATGACCATCTACGGTTTTCTTACTGATTTAGTCCGATCAGCACTTTATTTGTGTTAGTTGCCTGTGAATTTGCAGGAGGCTATTTTTTTTCTACATATAAAAATAAGATGTGGTATAATTGCAAATGAGACAACTCTCCACCAGAGACCAAACGACATAGAAGTTGACAACTATAGGTCACCGTATTTAATACTGTAAGCGCTTTATTGACAGATTGCGGCAAGGTAGAGCAGGGGGCAGCTGGAGACATGTGAAAGAAGTACTTCAAGCTGGAGGCAATAGAATTGTCTTTGTAGATGGTATGTTCTAAGATTGAAGTATTAACTTGTCTCTTTTAAGCGTTCTTTTCCGTTGGATTTCATCCTCAGTGCAGTTACCACACAACTAATGTTAACAATGGTTTTCTTCTTTATATCCATCGGTTTAATGAAAAATCCTCAAAATATTTTGAATGCTCTTAAAATCGAAGCCTTCCCTATGTATACACGCTTGAAACTTGTCCAGCTCGAAATATTTGGAATTGTCTCAATATTTGCCAAGCTCTAATGCACAAAAATAACACTAAATGTGTCAAAAAGGATGCAGCTGAAATGTTCCTGATATAGAAATTCGTGTAGTGCACGTATCACCAAGTTCTTTTCATAAGCAAAATAGTTTCCCCTTTCCTCTCTTAAACAGTGCAAAAGACAAAAAAATTCTTAAAAGTAGAAGAAACTAACTTCGATAGTACTATGAGTATCTGTATACAAAAAAAAATGGTCCAAAAGTCGTAAATAAATCAAATAAAGTACATTTGGGATAAAAGTTTGGAGAATGGGATATTTCAGCTTTGCATATTTCACCTGTTAATATCTTTCATATATTGGTGCCATATCCATTTTGCCATTGTATTGTGATTTGTTGTAAATATTTTCTGTATACATAAATATCAAATATAATGTTATGCCCATTTACTATTTCAAGGAAATAACGGAGCATACAAATTATAGCAGCCATCTCAAATCACAAAATTTAATTTGGATAAATTTATTTACATCAGGCCTTTCATTTAAAATAAAATCAAAATGTGTTTTAACAAGGAAAGTAGCTATATTTTGGATAATTTTGGGGCATTCAAAACGGTTCAAAAGGACTCAAAACTGAGAAATTTCCCTTTTTCTGGTATTTTTTTGAGATTTGATTTAATAATTAATCTTAGAAAGACTTACACATATCAATACTAAAAAAAATATGTTTTTTATCTCCAGGTCATATTAGATGGGAAGATAATGTAAAAATAGATGAAACTCCTGGTGGTCATTTGATACAACCTGATGCTAGAAATATGAGAATCAAGAGCAGACAATCATATACTCCAGGAAGAATTGAAGGTATGTACTGAACCTACTGATATAAACTACAGTTAGTCCACTTAAGGCAAAGCCAAAGGCAAGTTTTAGTTTGCATTCCGTACCTGAGACTGTTAAGTGCTCACTTTTTCTGTAATGCATAATGAGCAGATATTATGATTGTAGTCATATCATAAGAAGTTACAGATTGAGTTTGAGTTTAGTTCCAGTTGAGTGATTTGTGAAAGTTGTGGCACATGGACATGAAAAACTGCTCAAAAATATCAGTCCCCCTTTTTTTCTGTAATGCCAAAATCAATTTATTATATATTTGGTATAAAGTCATATTATAAGAAAGTACAGATCAAATTTGAGTTTTGATCTTGTTGAGCATTTTTTGCAGGAGTTGTGGTCCTTGGACACAACAGTTGCTCAAAAATATCACTTTTCTGTACTTTTTCCTGCAATGTGTTGAATCAGTTGAATAGATATTTGGTGTATATCTAACATAATTTACAGATCAACTTTTGTTTTGTTCTGTTTGAGAAATTTTTGAATGAGTTGTGGTCCTTGGAAATAGAAATTATTTTAGATATAAAATCAAGCTATTATGGAAAATAAAAACCTTGGTGCTTCATGGGTTGGGTAGGAAATGCATTTGTTGACAGTATCTGCATCTTAAAATAAATATTCTGACCCAATAAAGGATAAGATGGAAATTTCCATCTACATCAGTTACACCTAAATGCTTGTCCTTTAGAAGTGAACACATCCAATGTACACATTACAACCAATATAGTACTAATAGGGGACATTGTATTACATATTCATATTCTATACAATCAGAATGCTTGTTATTTACAATTCTAAATATTCTATAAAAGAAATCATAAAATAGGATTTATAAAAACATTTGCAAGGGGTTAGGCAGAACCCTGTCTCTCGCCTGCAATTGCTGCTGTCAGTGTTAAAGTGTAATGTTGACTTAAAAAGTGAGTCCATTTATCAGTAAAATACAGAATTAAAAAAAAAAAAATCAAACTGTTCCTTTAGATGCTATTTCATGGTCTTTAGATTAGCTTCTGTCCAAGTTTCATAAAACAATCCATGAAGATTTATAAATTTATCATGTCAAAAAAGTTTAATCCCAGACTGTCTGTAAATGTTAACTGTAAAAAACTAAGTCTATCTATTAGAAAAATACTGAAAATGAAAAAAATATATTTTCAAAAATTTGCTTCAGACATTATCTCTTAATCATAAAAAAGCTTCTCCCCAAGGTTCATAAAATTCTATGAAGGTTTGATAAAGTAATTGATGCATAACAAACTTTAACTCTAGGCTGTATCTATTTGTTAAATGTAAAAAAAAAAAAAAAAGGCCATACATCAGTTAAAATGGAAAAATGAAAATAAATATTTTTAAAATTTTGCTCTGGATACTATATTTTGGTCATAAACAAGCTTCTGTCCAAATTTCATAAAATTCCATGAAGTTTTGACAAAGATATTGATGTCTAAAAAGACTTTAACCACAGACTGAACCTAAATGTTGACTCCTGTTGACGTTGACTAAGGAATCTTAGGATCGCTATATCTCACTTTCGCGACATAAATGTTGCAGGCTCGACAAAAAATACTTTATAAGCCACTTGTAAAATTTCATCTCATCAAGCTAGATAAATGTTGTGCAAATCTTATTTTTAGTACAACCAGCTGATGCTCCAGATAGACTTAACTAAGGTATATCTTTTCAGTGTATACACAATAAGCCATTGTTAAAGTTGTGTGAGCACTCTGCCTGTGTGAGTCCTGTCAAGTTTTTGGACACAGAGAGTTAAACCACAATTCCTCTGCACTGTATCCTTCCAAAAAAATTTCATTTTAACTTTTCTGCACTATCATTGATTTTTTCTTGTGTTCACAGACCAATTTTTGTCATAATAATATCTAGAAACAGATAAAATAATTTTTTGTATAAAAAACAACATAGGTCCTTATTAAAACTTATGAATAAAGGCATAGTTTATGGCAATCCATGACTGCCCATCATTAAGTCCCATATTCATGAAAATTTTACCTAAAGTGTATTGTAAAGTGCATGAAAACATAGGGCCAACCAGAAATATTGAAAGATAAACCATAACCTCTTGTACATTTTGTGAACAAGGTAACATTTTTTGTTGGCCATGGTTTATTTAGTATTTCAACATGAAAAATATCACGTGAAAAAAGGATGTAAAAAAAAATTTAGCAATTACTAACATATGTGCAAAATTCAGTCAGAACTAAAAACAAATGGCATTTTCTACCTGCAAAGGCTTATCAAACCTGTTCTGATTATTGTTTTCTTAAGAATTACTTATTATAGATCATACTTCATAATTTATTCACTTTACACACATTAAAAAGTCAGGAAATCAGAGAAATCTCAGGTAAAAACATTTTATTCCACATCTCTCCATTTGTTTTATGAAGCTCTTTACCTCCATTTATTTATCGTATATATTACTAAATTCATATATCATAAATAGAACTTCATATATATTTATTGCAATGCTCTACATTTTATAATTGTAGGTCTAACAACTTACCACTTAAATAGCCGTCAAGGAATAGAACAAAATAATTGGAATGTTGTATGATGATACCAGCTCATGTTTGCATGTTTCAAACTTTATTTTGCAACGAATTATCACTTAAATTTACAATCTCCTATTTGATTCATTTTCTGTTGTATAACAGAGACTCTTTAAGTGTATTTTTTCTTAAAGTAGTGACTATTATGCTAGAAGTATTTCATTTTATAGATGTTTGCTTAAAACTCTTACTGTCACAATGTATTAATGACATTTTTGTGCAGATTATTTATTAATATATGAACAATGTGCTACATTTGCATTTCCAAGCCAAGTTTAAAGACCCTGTTAATGAAAATCCTGAAGATATGTAGCAATCACAAAGTTTTCCTTATATCTACATATTTCAGAAGTAATAATTATCTGTTTTCATTGTAACTTCTGAAAATGTCAAATAAGCCTGGATAAAAGATTTCATATGAACAAAGACAGATGCAAAGGTTTATTGGTACATGTTGGTAGGGGGTGGGTAACAAAGGAAAAATGTTATTAAAATTGGCTTATTCCTATAAAAGGTGAAGGGATAGGATAGAATGGATGTTATCAACCCTTTGATCTATATCTATTATTAAAAATATCAGCAGAAAATAGTATTTTAAGGATGTAAACACTGTATTTATCAATATAATAAGTTGTGACGAGTGAACCAACACCTTCTAACGGAAAAGCTGGTAGAGTAACCAAGATGGATACCGAAGTATGCTGCGGTTGTCTTAAAACCTCATGGAAATATAATATGTAGAGACAACAACATCTGGGTTACCGCAAGGTGATAGTTTTATTGAGTCTACATGTTTCGCCACTTACGGTGGCGTCTTCAGGACAATTTAAACATAGAAAACAAATACTGAAGTACATAAAATGCGGTGCATATGGGGTTACAAAGGTTAACAAGACGTAACGTCACAATAATTGATTTGACAACTTTAAAATGAAAGTGAAAGTAAAAGTTAATAATGCATTGTCAGTGTCTTTTCCAAAATGGACAACACCTCACAGGACATTCCGTACCATTCCAAAAGGCTTCACTCGGAAAGAGGTACTACTTCCAATTGCGTCGGGAATGTTGTAAGATGTATGGTAGTCGCACATGTAGGGCATGGTGGAAGTCGTGGTGAATTGGTTACATTTTGCGGTTGTGGTACACTATCCATGTTGCAAGTTTATTTCAACAATAATCGTGCGGTTCTGCGGTTCAGTACGTTTTGCGGTGGTCTTCTTTTTCGCGGGTTTTCCTTTTCTTCGAGGTATGGGCGGTTTCTTCAGTGAGGTTGGTGGTAGAATGGAACTGGTCGGTAGACATGAGGCTAACGGTTGTAACTACAACGCAGGACGGCTAAGGTGGATCGTGTGCGGATGCAGGGGTTCACAGAAAATTTATTTTTAACTACAACGCAGGACGGCTAAGGTGGATCGTGTGCGGATGCAGGGGTTCACAGAAAATTTATTTTTAAATTTTCTGTGAACCCCTGCATCCGCACACGATCCACCTTAGCCGTCCTGCGTTGTAGTTACAACCGTTAGCCTCATGTCTACCGACCAGTTCCATTCTACCACCAACCTCACTGAAGAAACCGCCCATACCTCGAAGAAAAGGAAAACCCGCGAAAAAGAAGACCACCGCAAAACGTACTGAACCGCAGAACCGCACGATTATTGTTGAAATAAACTTGCAACATGGATAGTGTACCACAACCGCAAAATGTAACCAATTCACCACAACTTCCACCATGCCCTACATGTGCGACTACCATACATCTTACAACATTCCCGACGCAATTGGAAGTAGTACCTCTTTCCGAGTGAAGCCTTTTGGAATGGTACGGAATGTCCTGTGAGGTGTTGTCCATTTTGGAAAAGACACTGACAATGCATTATTAACTTTTACTTTCACTTTCATTTTAAAGTTGTCAAATCAATTATTGTGACGTTACGTCTTGTTAACCTTTGTAACCCCATATGCACCGCATTTTATGTACTTCAGTATTTGTTTTCTATGTTTAAATTGTCCTGAAGACGCCACCGTAAGTGGCGAAACATGTAGACTCAATAAAACTATCACCTTGCGGTAACCCAGATGTTGTTGTCTCTACATATTATAATATAATAAGTTGAAGAAACATGATACTTGCCTATTAAAATATGCAGATGAGATTATATTGCAGTATTTTACATATCAGTATTAACATTTTGCTCATCAACAGTATTGTTATATCTTTGTTAATGTATTTGTTATTTTCTAGCACTTATAATAATAAACAAAGATTATTGTATGACAGTGTTTTTATTCACAATTTTTTAATGAGTTTCTCAAAATGGGAAGAGAAAAATCACCTGACAACATTCAGAAAAGTTTTGAAATATCTACATAACAAAATGAGACAACTATCCACCATTGACCAAATGACATAGAAGTTAGCAACTATGTTTACCCTCATTTTTTGCTTATTTGGATCCAAAAATAAACTAGGTGCAGATCAATGTTAGTTTATGTAGATTTTGTGAAAGACTTGTTGATAGCCGGTCTGTGGATTAATGGAAGCTCCAGAATAAAGATTACAAAACTTTTTTTTATCAGATATGGCAAAGTAAACCAACTATTCTTCGCAAGCGATTTATTTTCGTGACTTTAGCAAGTAAAAAAAAACGCAAATATTAATCGCCGCGAATATGTAAAAATAGGATCTGTCGTTTTAACTATATCAAGTAGTTTGAAAATCGCGAAATTAAATTGTCGCGAAGTGGACTAGAATGGGCTAAATGCGAAATAAAGTATCCGCCAAAATAAGTTGGTTTACAGTATATGGTAAACCACATAAAATATAAACGTGCAAAAAATTGGCATAATTGTATGATTCAAAATGCCCAACCCTTTTGAAGATATGGCCATATCCATGTTTTCCTATTGGATGAAAAAGAATTGTTATAATAGAAATTTAAATAGATTCTCTGAAAATTTAAATATAATCTAGTCCCTGGGTAAAAAAAAAGTGTGGTCAGACAAACAAACAGACACAACAATAACTATATTCTATCTAATTTACTCAGTATGGGAAAAACAAAACAATGGAAGTTTAGTATTGTAATTCAGAACTTGCTGCAATGAGGGTCTAGGAATTAAATTTTCTGTCTTTGCCTTCCAAAGAAATGAAATAACAGAAATAAAAGCACAGTTCCTTTGACATGGTTGTTACAAATATTACTGTGTGTACATGCACAATAAATATATACAATGTGTATGGTTAGGCATTGTATAGTATGCAAGGGACAAAAAAGGAATATGTGGTTGATCCATATGAGAGATGGTTCATAGTTTTGGTGAATTCCAATTCTAAACCCCAAACTTGGAATTTGCAGTTACGAAATGGAAAACAATTAAAGGAAAGATATGAAGTAAAAATGTCAAACACTTCAGCTCCTACTGGATGAATGCAAGGTAAAATAAAACAATTGGTATAGTGAGTCAAAGATAAAAAATACCTTAAAATGAAATAAATAAACTTTATTAACTTGTAAACATAGTGAAATTACAAAGAAAATATAACAAAAATAAAAATCTGTTTGATGGATGGCAGTTATTTTGGTACAATGGAGAACTACCACAATACATTTTGTGATATGATTTGGCAAGGCACAAGCACTTAAAATATGACAGCAAGTGGGTTTATTATAAGCTATAAATGCATTGTAATGTATAGAAAAGCACCACTCTCAAATAAAAGGTCTAAACCAGGTATAAAGTGTGATACTTATAAATATAAAGTAACCTTAAGCCTAAATATTTCTTAATCAACTTTTGCATTTTAAGACCATACTTAATTTTTTTTTCATTCTTAAAATAGAAGGACTTGAATTAACATGAAAAAAAAAAAAAAAAAAAAGGAAATAAAAAACACCAGATATTTGTCATTTTACACAAATTGCAAATAATACATGTATAGATTATTGTTTTCTACACATTGATGTGAACCTTTTTGGCGAGTAAGCATTGTGTCGAGCTGCTGATATTTTACGATATCTATAAATAAAAATCCTGATAATCTGTTTATCTTTCTAATACTGGTCTATTTTCCCTCCCTTAGTCAGATTTACGCTTGAAGAAGAGCAAGCTTGATAACATGTTCTCACACATTGTGAAGTCGCTGATAACTTCTCCTCAAACACTGATAATGCCTGCTCACATCTTGAGGCTATGATACTATATATAGAATTATGGAACGACTTAGCAGGGAGATATAGACAAAGGGAAGGATGATAAATTAAAATATTATCCATTTACCTAACAATAAATTATACTATTCTATACCTAAATATTTGTTTATTTTTCTCAATAATAAGCTTATTAAGAATTTATTATATATCCAGTCATCATTCTGCTCATCTCTAGAATAAAAAAAAATAATAAATTCTGCATGGCCTTAAAGTACCATTACACATCTTATTTGATATTCTGAGATTATTCACCAAAAAAGCACATTAAACTTATCTTGCATACAGTTTGCCATTTAATACAGATATTATAAAACAATGTAAACAGTGACATATCGCATGTATTACATGCATATTTCTTAGTGTATTTTTCTATCAAAGTATTTGTAAATATTGTTCAAAATTCATTGATTTCAATCTCATGCTGACATTTTTTCTTTTCATTAACTTTGCTATGCAGAATATGCATGTTTATGATAAAAATCTTTGATGAATATTTTTTTCAAATTAAAAAAAATAATTTATCATTTGATGTATTTTCAAATACACATTTCGTATGATCATCTATCATGGGAGTGGCATGACTGCATGCCTGTGTAGTTTTGTCAATAATTCATTGATATGTATTTAAATGTTAAACAATATATATATGCTAGAAAACAATTATACAGTGAATTATAAGTCTATGAAAAGAAATGAAACATAAAAATATCTTTATATATTAATGTGCATTGAGCAATATATTGTATACATTATGCTACATACAGTGACCATATAAGTACCCTTGTTTATATAAAGTAAATTATACAACATTATATTAAAGAAAACTCTTAAAACAATAAAGTCAGATCTAACACATACCTGTTAACAACTTTGTTAAAGGACATCTACCCAATAATAATATTTCACTGGGGGTTATAATGAGTAAATATTTGTAGGTATCCAAAAGAGGTAGAAAAAAAAGGTAATCTAAAAATGGGGGTGCTTATAGTAGATTTCTACCAATGTTGAAGATGTCTTAAGGTGGAAATTCAGTTCAAATGGGGAGTCTCTCTCTAACGGGAAAATCTATATTGGCAGGTATAAAAAATATAATCAGGCATTAATGACATTATACATTCAGATCTAGAAAAAATGGTAGCTTATCTACACCCATTAGGGAGCAACATTAATAAATGTACATTGAAATTTGAATTTATGTAAAATAAAGAAAGAGTCCAAAAGTTATTAAATTTGTCTTTTAAATGTGGATAAATGTTCCATTTATAATCTTCAAATGTTTTGTCAGTTCAGCTTAGAAATTCAAAATAAACTGTTAACACAGAGATATGTCTCGCCTTTTTGTAATTTTGATAATGCAAATCTTGAAATTAGAATAGCAATACTTTAACATGTAAGTTATGCAAATATTGAAAGTCAATGAACCATGACTGAAGGTACATGACTAAACAATCTCCATGGAAATGAAATGTGCCAATGCTAATACAACTGCATACCAAATACCATTGACCATAAGTCGTTCTCTTTAAACAAACCTAAACATAAACATTAACTTTTATGTAAAGTTTGTGAGTTAGAGACCCGGTTTACACATCAATAACCTCTAGAAAAAATGTGTTTAATCCTTATAATTCTTAAGCCAAATATTTTTAATTAACATATTTTAGTGTAAAGGCTACTATAATTACCATCAAATGAACAATTGGCAGGTCGTAACTAAGGAGTTGGCCGTCATATTGACTTTCTAAAATCCATAAATGTTCGATAAATGCAACGGAATCTAAAATGAAATAGCACCTACCTCCAAAACTTCATTTTATTTAGATATTATCCGAATTGAAAGCGTACAAGTAACGAAATAATCTTTCCCTTGAAAGTTTTCATTCGTATGACGTCGTGTTTTGCCATGACGTAAACTCGCCAAATCATTCATTTTATACATTTTCGGAGCTTTAGTGCATTTATTTTATTCATTTCTTGTTATAAATACATTAGAATAGAAACAACTGTTATGCATTTGTTTTTTTAATCTCAATTTGCTTAAATTCCCGGGATCCCTGCAAGCATGTGTATCGCGCATGAATAGATTACGAAACTAGTTTCGGGAACATGGTTTATCGAAGTGTAAACCAAAAGAAAAATTCTAATTGACCAATCCAATTCAAGTATTTATAGATATGCAAATCATATAAGAATTATTAACTTGTAAACTATGTAAAAGTTTCAAAGTCAATGAACCATGATGAGAGGGTGGGGCTATATAATCTCAATGGAAACAAGACTTGCAAATGCCAATAAATTTGCATACCAAATATCATTGACTTAACATTAGCAGTTCATATTAAACTGATCTAATCACAAACTAATATATGTAAACTAAGCAAAAGTTTCAAAGTCAATAGACCATGACTGAGGGGGCTGGGCCAAATATTCTCCATAGAAATGAGATGTACTAATGCTTATACAACTGCATACCAATTAACATTGGCCTACCACTAATGGTTCCCCTTGAACTGACCTAATCACAAACTAATACATGTAAACTAAGCAAAAGTTTCAAAGTCAATAGTCCATGACTGAGGGGGCGGGGCCAAATAATCTCCATGGAAATGAGATATGCCAATGCTTATACAACTGCATACCAAATATCATTAACTTACCACTAGTGGTTCCCCATAAACTGACCTAATCACAAACTAATACATGTAAACTAAGCAAAGTTTCAAAGTCAAATGACCATAACTGAGGGGGTGGGGCCAAGTAATCTCCATGGTAATGAGATGTGCCAATGCTTATACAACTGCATACCAAATATCATTGACCTACCACTAGTGGTTCCCCGTAAACTGACCTAATCACAAACTAATACATTGTTGACGACGCTGCCGCGGATGCCGGAAACACCATACCTATGTCTCGCTTTTTGACTCCGTCAAGGCGAGACAAAAATTAAAACGTGAAATTTACGATGAATACATCAGAAACGACAAATTTAGGAATAAGTAGATAAGAGTGGAAACAAACTACACATACACTGTTGAAACATACTCAGAATTGCATAGCATTTAACATAAAGCATTACTCTACCAAAGTTTTTATCTAGCTAATGGAATGTCCTATCACATGGTTTTGATAAACATTATCATGGAATTACAAAAAAATTTGGAATAAAAAAAAACCCCCAATTATGGCTCATTATTGGAATATTGTAATAATTACATGAGTTATGGAATGTCAAAATAATCAAATTACTGATGGAATGACATGACAATCACATGACTGATAGAATGCCATGATGATCACCTGACTGATGAAATGGTGTGACGATCACATGACTGATGGAATAGTGGGATGATCACATGACTGGTGGAATGATATGATGATCACATGACTAGTGGAATGGTGTGATGATCACATGACTGATGGAATGTTGTGATTATCAAGACTGATGGAGTGACATAATGACCACATGACTAGTGGAATGGTGTGATCACATGACTAGTGGAATGGTGTGATGATCACATGACTGGTGGAATGTTGTGATGATCTCAAGACTGATGCAGTGACATAATGATCACATGACTAGTGGAATGGTGTGATGATCACATGACTGATGGAATGTTGTGATGATGACTAATGGAATGATGTTATGATCACATGACTGATGGAATGGTGTAATCATCACATGACTAATAGAATGATATAATGATTACATGACTGACAGAATTATGTGATGAATACATGACTGACAGAATTTCCTGATGATCACTTGACTAACAGAATGATGTTGTGATCACCTGACTTACAGAATGATGCTGTGATAACCTGACTAACAGAATGATATAATGATTACAAGGCATAAAATGTACTTATGATAAGTAAGAATTTCTTTTAAAAAATACAAAAAATATTCATATTTGTTATCATATGCTAAAAATTAGATGTTATAAACATAGATAATGTGTATCATTATACATGTATTCCTGATCGTGTAGAAATGTTTATGAGAGGACGGATGACATTGTACACTTGATACAGTATATAAAAGTGTTAATTGCACTTTTAACATTTAAAGCTTTATACATTGATATATGACATATATACAATTAATAATTTCTGTTTAAATGCACTTACATACAACACAAACTTCCAAAAAAACAAAACTGTAAACATAAGTCAAATTTCCCTGTAAATGGACTATGTCTGTTAATATGATATTTACATTTCACATGCAACAAATGCCTTAAAGTTTTATATTAAGTTGCTAGATTCTCCAAATTTTGTTTTCAATAATTCATCAATTCTTCACAGGAAAAACTTGACCAATCTTCTTAATTATGCATTCATTAAAAATCAATTCCTATTCATTCACATGTATTTAAAAAAAAAATAGAAATTATAACCACACTGAACATTAAATAAGAAGAAATATCAAAGAAATATGAGTATTTCAATTCAGACTTTTTAAAAAAATTTTATAAGATGTTGCATTCAAAATAAAAAACTTAAATATTAATTACTAGGACCTCTAATAAGTACACTACAAAATCAGAAAAGATTACTTATTCATATAATTGTCTACATCTATATTTTCACTTACATTTAACATATAAATACAATTGTATCATAACAAAAGCTGAAAATAGCACAGCATGCTCTAAATCCAATTCTTTTACAAAACATAACCAACAAATAACATAAGAAAACAGTGCCATTGACTTTCACTTGTACAACAGAACATACATACATTATAAAAATATACAATTCACACTGAGGCAGATATAAATTCATTTATGAGATCTTTGTATTTTATCTGTTGTTTTTGTAAGTACCCTTTGTTAAGGAGAACAACTCATACATCTAAATCATCCCCAGTACTTGAACTTCGAAATAAAGTTCTTCGTGGAGCAATATGAATGTCTGACAAAGTTTCTGACCTGAGATCACATGGTGCTGAACTACACGATTGTGTCAGTATTGATTCTGTTGTTGATACTTTGTCGTCTTGTATGTCTGATGGAGTACTCTTCTCTCTTCTGAATATAAATGTATAACTAATTTTAATTTAGACAAAAAAAAAGAGTTTTATTAATGAAGTTTTATAATTATTATATTATACCATCTTAATATAAATGTCAGTGGTTGCCATTGTCTCAGAGTGTTTTTTTTTCATATAGGAACCCTTGTAGTTTGATTCATTTACAAACTGTCTACACAGGAATCTAAAGCTTGCTATATGGTGTGGACACTGTAAATGACCTTAAGGTGATCTTTAAAAGTAGGCATGTGCTGTTTTGTCTCTGTTTTATTGATGTTTATCCCCACACCATTTATTCATATTGTCTAATGAATTTAAAAGATGAAACAAAAGACTAATCATATTCTGTGACAATTTCGTTTTACACTAGAATAGACATAACAAAGATTAAATTGTTAATTGGATAGCAAACCAAGATAAAAGGCATCAAAATAAGAATATAGAGCCCACTGAAAGCCAATTTTTCAATATTAAGATTTGACAACCATGATAGAAGTCTGTTTCTACCAGCAACTTCACTCCTAAATGGATCAAGTACTGTACAATGTTTTTTGAATGGAAAAGAAAAGATTTGGGTGGATTGACATTAAACCAAATTCCTAAAAATACTTGGAAATAACAAATACAACAAAAGATAAGCACTTTTATTGCTGTTCTACAAAAGGGTAATTCTTCACATATGCAATAATTCTGTGAAGGTTTTTTGCAAAAAGAATTTAGAAATTTGACACACTGAAATGTCTTGACTGCTTTGCTGATTTACATGGCAAAAGCCTTAAAGATCAAGGTCTCACAAAAACTTCCATTTGATAAATGAGGTCCAAGACAATGGATATATGTCAAATTGAAATATCAGACAAGACATCCCTATATAAGATGACAAAAAGTGGCTAGTGATTACTATAAGACTGTCTCCAGTCAATGGCAGATTTCCAGATATCTACATTGTTTAAAGTATGGACACTTTTACAAACTTTGATAAGTCTTTTAGATGGTAATCCTAATATCTTATACAATTCTAAGGACACTTGTACAAACCTGGATAAGTCTTTAGGTGTCAATCCTAATATCTTATACAATTCTACAGACATTTGTACAAACCTGGATAAGTCTTTAGGAGTCAATCCTAATATCTTATACAATTCTACAGTGGATGGTGTCTTTGGTTTACCAGATGGAGCAGGTGAGAAAACAGGAGTTGATGGCAGCAAACGAGTTCCTTCACCTTTGATGTATACAAAAGCTTATCAAAATGTTGTCACAGAATCAATACTCATAAATAAATAAGAGATGTAAAGAGTTGGTAGAACCTCATTGTGTTGAAAACTAAAATAAGTCAAGCTATTTTGTTGGGTACTGGTAAAATTCCCCTGTTGTATATCTTACTCTGATGAGTCAAACTTTGATGACTTGAAAAGTCAGTACACACAAGTATATATTGAACATCAATAAAAAGAGGAAATTATTATTTGATTTAAAATTAAATGATAAAAGAGATTTTAAGACTGACGTTCACTTGATAGTAGCTACCGTAGAAAGGCTTGTATAGTCCGCGGTTTTATTCTCCAAAATTGGACATTCCAGACGGGGTGCGGACTACAGAGTACAATAACCAAGAAAGAAGAGAAACATTTCAATTTCGCGGGCGAGGTGGTTTGTTTACGTTCCGCCATCTTTGTTATTTATATTGTAGAGGGCGCTCATCATTTTTCAAACTAATAATTTTAATTCATCCATATTAATAAGTTATTTCTATTCAATATCAAATTAATACTGATAAATATAAAAACTAAACCTTTCATTACAAATTTCTCGTTTCTTTTCAATGCATTGGTTGAAATAAACTGGTATCTGCATGATTGAAACGATACAAACATAGTGAAAAAGACAACCGTAAACCAGCTTAGAATTTGTAAACTACAAAACGTAATCGGTTATTGTTCGTTCCGTTTTGGTGTTTCATACTGACTAATATGGTTTGTATTAGCTCAAGACCCTTCAAACATTAATGTGATAGATATATTAAAGACTGTTTTACAAAAGGATGGAACTGATTTACTATCAAAGTCGTAGTATAGTGATATCTGTTATGTACGGATTTCGACTCTCACCGGTTAATTTCTTCTTTTACACGTGCTTTTTAAACTTCCTGTTTAAACATACACAAGTTTCTAAATTATTTTTTAAGTGAATTAAACTTATTTTAATAATCATGAAGCGTTCTAGAATCATTTACAAGCAGTTTCAGCTTCTGTTTGATGATGGAAAACAGGTTTTTCAAAGAAAATACCGCAAACGACCGCACAGGATTTGAAATTACTGGAGTTTCATTAGACCTTTTCTAACAGTTACAAAAAGTTTTTTTACCTAAAATTTCGTGGGGAGAAGGGGGTGCGAACTATACAAGCCTTTCTACGGTAAACAGAATGCATTCATCTCCCAAGAGCTGTTTTATTTTACAATGACTAATCGTTGCAAACAGTAGTGAACAAATTTCTCTGAAGTATTTTCTTGATTGGATAAGCTTACAATAAAAAGTACACTACTGAAACAGGTAAACATTAAACATAAACTCTTAACCTCCAATAATTAATGGTTATGTTGGGACTCTTAAACTTATATATAAAAGTTCCATTGTAAAATTACATATACTGATTAATATTCAAAATATTCCACTAATTAATGTTTTCTACCCACCTAAAAGATAGTTTCTACTTACTTTTATGTGGTGTGACTGAATTAGATTTTGTAAATGGAGAAATCTGTAAAAACTCATTCTTTAATACAGTTGCCTTTTCCACTTCAAAGCTTTGTCTCTGAAACACAAAGAAACAATACAAATATTTGAGCATTGTGTCTTCCTGCATCATAATGGTAAAATTTTGACGCAAATGCTTTAACATGTGTTTGTGGGAATTTTTTTTTAATCACAGTGCCAGTGTGTCACTAGAAATAATTGGCTGATTAAAAAAAATGACCTTAATTTTAAAGGGTCATATAGAATCATTATTAACTGGCTGTAAGACAAAAAGGTCCACAAAATGGAAAGTTCTGGAATGGTGGAGCTGTGAATGTACTGAGAGAAATAACATTTCAGTTGTTTATTTGGGATTTAGGTCATTTTTTTAAATGAAAATTTACAAAGATCAGGCATAACTATCAATGCAATTTGTCCTATATTGCAATTTTTGTTACATTTGATTTTGATTTTTGATTTTTTGGTGTTTTAACGCCATTTTTAAGCACCGCTTTTGGGCTATTTCATGGCGGCCAGTTTTTATTGGTGGAGGAAGCCGGAGCGCCCGGAGAAAACCACCGACCTTCGATAGGAAAACTGACAATCCTAGTCAATTAAGATTGGAGTCGAGGGCACCCGCACGAGCGGGGTTCGAACTCAAAACCTCACTGTTGACTGGCTAGTGATTACAGTAGTAACTACTTAGACCACTCGGCCACCGAGGCCCCTGTTACATTTGATAAAAAATCTTGATTGCAATGATTGTCCAGTTATAAAACTGTCACTCAGTATTGACGGATTATCCACAGGGCTCTACAAGTTACGGTTTAATTCCCAAGGGGATGTCAGGTAAATGCTCCCTTAACATGTTTACTTGTGTTGATACCTGACGGCAAAAATACTGATCAAGTAGAGATGAATGACTTTTAAGAAAAGGCAATCAATAATTTAGATTTTAAAATTAAAGTTTTCTATACAATTTCTTTACAAAAAACCTTATGGTTTTAAAGTCATACATGCTGATGTTCATTTATACACATTACACATGCGTGCAACTGTCATCCTCTTTTTTGACAAGTACAAGTACTTATTTGAATATACAAGTTAAAAGGTTATTACTCACATTAAACACTTTTACAAGTATGATTCCCAAAACTTTGATCAAGTAGTCAGAAGAAAAATTTCTATTGTAAATCTGATTTCCTTCATAATTAATAATCAGCTTGAAAACTTTCGCTTTCTCAAAAAGGAAAGTATCATGATCAATTCCTAAGGAATTTGCAGTTTTAATTCATTAAAATCATTGCAGTTTGATACTGTTGCATTCAACACATTATTCTTAAACACTTTTACAAAACAGGTACAAAATGTCATGCAGTTCATTCAACAAAACCGTTGATCGATGTTCATTTTTGTTGTTACATATTGTTTGAATATGACTGTACGAAATTAGAAGATTCTGGATTTCTAGTCCTAAAAAAATGAGAGAAATCACTTAAAAAATTTCAAAACCCTTGTTCACAATATGTACCTCTCTACCGAGTCTAATGGCTGCCTCTGTAAAATGTTTCCTTTCCTTTTCAAAATTAGCCTTTTCTTGAAAAAAACATCTTTTCTGTTCTGACAATGTTTCTTTCTCTTGTAGGAGATGAGATTCATGGAGAAAGGAATTCTCCATTGACCTGGACTGAGAAGTTATTGATTGCTGAAATAATAAAATGTATCAATAAATAATAAATATTAAGTGTCTGTACAGTCAATTGTTTACTAAAATTACTGATATTTTTATTCTTTTTTTCCCCAGGACAATGTGTATACAAGAATTTGATTATCAGAATATTCTTTATCAAATAAAGATTAAAAAGATCTAAAGTTTAGAAAGCTAATGTAAAACTTTTCTAAATATGGTTAGGGAAAATGTCAACTAAAAATTGTGTAGCTTAACCTTTTGCTTTTCATGGTTAGCTTAGGCACCTCTTTATAATTATGAATTATACTATAAATAAGCATGTGAATGGTGTCTACATTAATTATTGAAGGGCCTCGGTGTCCGATTGGTCCAAATAGTCCAACTACTGTATCACTAGCCTATCAACACTGAGGTTGCTAGTTCAAATTCTGCATGTGGTTGGTGCATTCAACTCTTATCTTGATTGACTAGGATTGTCAGTTTTCCTACCGAAGGTCGTGGTTCTCTCCAGGCATTTTGCTTCCTCCACCAATAAAAAATGACAGCCACAAATTAGAAAATAGTGCTGAAACACCAGCCAATCAATGAATCATTAATTATTGAGACTATTTCCCTGTCAATCATTTCCATTTATTTGTACATTTTTTCTCTGGTAACACTTATATTTGTCATGAGTGAATGCAAGTTAAGTATTGAATTGAAAAGAATTAAAATTTAAACATGACTTGAGTTTATTAGATGAGTAATAATAACCTGAATTAACTCTTCCTGTTGTTTAATGATATCCTTGTATTTACTGATCTGTTTCTGTAATTTGTCATACTCTCCTTTAAACTTGGAATCACTTGGCTGTGGAGTAACGTTCACTGTACCTTTATTGGGACCTGGAAATCAAAATTTATTAATATTGATCTCGGAGTAACAAAATACAAACAAATAACAAGATGGCATGTAATGTGGTGCTAAGCATACCACAAAGTATCTGGCAAGCAGGAAGTATGAAGTCTTTCTGTTCAATAGTATCTGGGAAAAGTGTGACGAAAATATTTTTTGGACAAAGGATGGACGGACAGACTGATTTTGTGTCATAGATGGATACCCCATATCCTTTGTTTTCTATTATGACAAGGTGAATTCAATATGGCCCTAAAAATTATAGAATTACTTTATGTGCATTCATGAATTATTGTGCTGTTTGGTCATTTTTTTAATATTTTTTTTTTTATATTAGAATTATAGGATTAGTTATACTTTTTATTACATTGACTTTTGATATAAATAAATATAAAATGCAAGGAACTAAATCTTTTTCTAAGTGTTCTCATTTCCTTATGATGAAACCTCAGTGACAAGGTCTTGACAACACTGAAGAAGCAAGTCATGCAAATATGCTGTATTTTACTGACAGAATTTCTAAATGGTTAAAGTAACATTTTAAGGGTCATTTTCATAAATATCTGCTCTAGTGGTTAATACAAGGACATTGTTATCAACAAAACCTCTTACATTTTCATATCATTACTACATTTTGTTTATTACAAACCAATAATACTGCAATCATACAATATAAATGAGAGTACTTTTATAGAGTATACAATTTTCATTAAAATTCATCAGTTAATTGATAAATAAAGAAACCTACTTGGCAAACGTCTTTTAGGCTTCATGTTATGTTTAATCTTTTTGCATGTTTCCCTGAATGACTTTTGTAGATTGTCTTTCATAAAACCATATGGCATCTGGAAATATCCTGGAATATAAATATAGTCATCTTATTATCCTGAATCAGCAGAAAAGATTATACAGATACAGTCATATTATGCTTTCACTCATTTTTTGAAAACTACATGTAAGTGAATTGAAATTTAATTCATTATATTATGATTGATTGATGGCTGCTTAATGTCTATTAGTAAATATCACATTCACTTTAGGGATGATAACATGCTTACAAAATATAAATATACACTGCTTTGCATTATCAAGTCAGATTTTTAATATGCTGGCTCAAAAGTTTCCAGTCAAAAGTAAGACATAACACCTTTCTCAAACACCTTTTTCTGACTCCAAGCCAATCAGTATTTGCTCTTACTCCTATAAACTGCAAGCTTACTGGAGAAGAAGAAAATTCCAAATTTAAAGTCTTTGGTTTGAACACGCCAGGGATAGAACCTAAGATCTACTCCATTCATGGTCGAGGACTCTACCAAGTGAAAATCAAGGCAGTTATTATGCACAGAAGAAACATAGTATAATGTAAAAGCACTTTCAGTCTGTTTTGTGTTTATGAAAATATCAAAGGTAGATAGCATTTTTTGTTTCATGTTTCAGCCTTTGTATTCCTAACAAATCACAGATTTGTATGTGTATGAGAGTGATGAGTCACTAAATTCAAGAAAACTGATGCCCCACTTCCAGGAGAGCACTTTACCACATGACAACCAAGGCAATAACTATGCAAAGAAAAAACACATAATAATAGTTCTTCCATAAATCTTCAAAATAACCCTTGCATAGTTTGAATAGTTCTTTATTTTACTGCATTAAATTTTTATATCTGGTGTCATTATTAAAAGGGACCCATAACTGAGAATTGACTGAATAACAGCTTACCATCTGAGATATCATTAAGAGCGGGTGGCTTCTTGACAGAATAAATAGAACTACTATCATCATCATCACTGAAGGTGTCATCTAAATTATTCTGAAATAAATTAAATATTACAGTATGTAAATAAATATTTTTAATTACAGTGTTCACATTTTCAATCAGGAGAATGCACAATTTATATAGTAATAAAACACAGCACAAGTAAAAAAGTCAGTCTGAGATATAATTTATTTTTCTTGAATTTAATATTGGTTATTCAATGCTTAAGATACGTAGATTATATCTTCTAGAATGAAAATAAATATAAACAATATAAGACTGTTCTAAACTTTTGCTTAATACTTTGCAACCCCTATATGTTCATCCTACACTATGCTTTGAAATTCTTGTCGTTTTTTCTATATTTTTCATACATATTAACTTTCTCATTCATGAACAACTTTTTCCTGACAAAAATTCTCATTTATCCATTGTATCTCAAAAACCAGTACTCAGACCTATATCTTTATTTCATCATGATGTTGATGTATTATACTTTATATATTGAATAAAATGTCATTTATGAAAATGTTGTTATGAATTCCAGCAGGGAGAATTCTTAATAATATCTGGAGACCTTAAATATAAATAATATATTACTAACATCATTAGGACTAATACTACAGTTGGCTATTTCTTCTCCATTGATGACTGTGACAAGTTCTTTCTGCATCTGAACTAAACAATCACGTAGATCGGTATTCTCCAACATCAGTTCTCTCTGTTTATCTTCGTAATGATGTATAACATTTTGATACATCTCTTCCTGTCTGTAAATTACAATGTGTAAAAGAAATTAATCAGCAGTACACAGCTATGCTTGCTATGAAAGAGAAACCTGGTCATACAAATATTTCACAATACACATAGAATGCTTTAGTCATGTATTTCAACCTCATCAAGCAGCAATTCTGAGTAATTAAACTGACATGATTAAAAACATACCATAATTAAATCATTTTGTCCTTTAATAGTAATAAGCATAAATTACCAAAATTATATGAAAATTGATTATTTTAAATTTGAATTGTCTTCCATTGATTGATTTCATGTAAGCTCCTCTTGGGTCAAACATCTGTTGAGTTGAAATTTAACACAGTCCTGTCAGTTTTGAAGATAACAAGAGTAGATTGTACATATTCATTTTGATATAATAAACTGTAAGCAAGAAAAACTTTATTTCTGGATTAGAAAAAAAACTGGAAGGCATCAGAATACTCAGAAGATTCCAATTTCTACATCATACACATACTTATTATTGCCTGCACTCTTCCATGTGCTACGTTTACCATCTCTGTTTTGTAAAGAATTAGCAATGTCCAAACCTGTAATGGTAATTCTCTTATTACGATATAATCATTTCTTTTAAAGTAGACTGGACATAAATATTTCTAAATTACTGTGTAAATTGTCAAAAAAAAATTGAATACTTACAATAATAAATAGGTTAAATCAAAATAGGAATAATTTGTGTCCATTGATAGTTTATAACAGTATCTATTTTTAAAAGTCCTGGTTTCTAAAAATATACAAATTTTCGCTTAACTATTTCAAAATGTTTGCTGTTGCATCTTTTTTCACAATATAATTAGAAAGGTTTTCTGCAATATAAGAAAGGTTACATAAATAGAGAATATTATTTTCACTTAACCTAAAAATGTGCGAGTTTTCCAAAGAAGACATATGTTGCCTAATGTCTCAAAATAATATAGGTTAAAAAGTCTATATTTAGGTATGGGAAACCTAAAATATCATTTAGATTCAAACATTTAAATAGCAGGTGCACAACTTCTTGTCCTGAAGAAATCAGTGCAAGTTTAGTGGAATTCTGGCAGGCCATTTTCAAGGAGTTGAGGTTCAACTTCAAATAATATAAGCAGAAATACAGAACATAACTATATGTGACTACAGTTCTACCTCTGTCAATATTTGCTTCACATGTTTTCAGTCATTTTGTTATTGGGTTTTTTTTTTTAGGGATCCAAATGATTTATGTGAATTTGACTTTCTATACTTTTACGTTTGATTATATCTGAACAATTATTTATAGGAACATGCATTAATCATACCAACTTAAAATTCACATCATTGGACTATGTTGGAGAGTTGTGTCATTGGCAATCATACCCCAGCTCCTTATTTTTCAAAGTAAGTATCATGTATTTTGATTACAATAGAATATTTTCATAAATACTAACCAACTCTTCTGTTTGGAGTTTTATCTGATATCAGTTGATGTAATTTCTCTTTCAGTTTGTTTATTTCTCTTTCCTTCTTCTTTAACTCATGTTTGAACTGTGCATCTCTGTCTTTTATTATACTTTGTAACCTCTTAACCTGAAAATAACACAAAGGATACTTTAATGTAACCAAGCACTTAGAATTGGTTTATTTGAATTTTTATCATTTTAGTTAACACTGGATTACACAAGAGCCGTGAAAATCTTTCTTGAAATTAAGAGTACTTTTTTAAAGACTATATCATTGATCTATAGGGTATCGAGTATTTTGCCTTATGTATTGACACAAAAAATAAAATCAAGATTTCAATGTTTTTTTTGCTCAATTGTATATAACTCACCTCTTCTCTTTCAGCTTTAAGTTTAGATGACAATGTCTTCTGTTTGTTTACCAGCTGTCTGTATTTCTCTTGTTCTCTGCCATTCTCTTTATCTAATTTTTCATTCTCGGTTTTAAAGCGCATATTCATAGCTTGGTAATGGTCTAATTCCCCAGTAACACGATGGATTCTGAAAAACATTAGTGACTTACATTTAGACTATTGTAAAAGGTTTACATTATTGAAGGAAAATTCTTTTCCTAAAGAGATATACATTTTGTATCATCAATTCCATTTCAAAGTGTAACTGAACAGAACAAAATACAATTTACCTTGAGGAGGTTAAGAACATTCATGAGTTATCACTACTGATGATATTTGAAGATAATCATGAACATCTTTTTCAAAATATTTTACTGGTATTTTATGAAAAATGTGTATTTACTGACTAGCATGTGAATATGTGACACACAAAGAACTACACTTTCTTATCAATTTAAAAATTACTTCAATGCTGAAGAAACTGAATGATGGATGTTGAATACATAGAAGCAAATAATCCATCCATATTTAGGACTCTAACAAGTTAAGGTGATATGATATTGGACCATGGTTTGATCTACACTGATATTTGTTTAATATTCAATATGCGAAGTCACAATGTAACAGTTTGAAATCGTTGTAACCACAATCCCGTCCTGTGACCTACCTAATAATGATTATTGCAATACAAAAAAATATAGTCGAAGTTTCTTTAATCTTCTTACCTATTTTCGAGTTCTTCTCTTATTCTTCCTATTCTTTGGAACTGACGTAATACTTCATACAATCTGTTAACTAAACTTGGTACTCTGTCTTGTATATCATAACTTATTGTCTGGAAACCTAGAACTGTTAGTTCCTACCAAAACAAATTGTGGGATAATGTACAATTACAATATAATAAACATGTTTAACTTGTTTTTTGAAGTGCAAAATTCAAACAGAAAATTTGAAAACATAGAAAATTTGCCTTATAAATATATATAAATATGTGAACTTTTACCATGTTATATTTGGTTAGGCTAAACAACTACCCAATTTAATAACTATTCCAGTTTAGGAACTTATGTGTTCACAAAATACAAAATATACCTGGTTAATATATGCTATACTCTGGTCAATATTGTCTGTCGTACAGAAGGTTTCTATTATTGTCTGATCTCCCATCCTTGTTGAATTGAGTGATGATCCAAAAAATGACAGAAAGTCTCTATCACCACCTCTCAAAACACTCCAATCTGCCATCCTGAAATAAAATGACAAGACATTATGAAACATTAGGTCCCTGAATTCCATTTCCAACCTATCTTCAAAGCAGAGATATATTGACAAGATATTGTGTGCATAACTTCAAATCAATAAGCCTCTAAAGATGCTGTATACCTCCTTTAGTACAAATGTAATTTTCTATCCTAAAATAAAATGACTAGACATTATATAACCTTATAACCTCTGACCACACAAGAACCCCTCAACTTGGAAGACAGTCACAATTTAAGGAACAATAACTGCCTTACTTTGAAGTCCAAGGACACATTATATTATCGCTGCATTTTCACATACCTTTATTTTTCCCTATCAATTCATCACCAAATAAAATATTTGACCACTTTACAACCAGCATAGCATACTATAAATTTGATGCAAACCACTTTGTTACACAAGATTTCATGATCTGTTAGCTGTCATTACTTTGCCTTTGATCCCTCTATACAGACCAAAAGATGTGTTGTCAATTAGATGGCTGATGAATTGCTCTCATGCAAATTAAAAACGGTTGTGAATAACATTTAGGACTCTTTAAGAACCCTGTTTAAATTAGTATTACTATTTAGTGGAGTGCCCTCTTATATAAAAAAAGATTTGTAAATGGTTCCACAGAACCTTACGTCTCGCCTGCGATTGCTGCTGACAGTGTTAAAGTGTTATGTCGACTATAAAATAGAGTCCATTTATCAGTAAAATATCGAAAAAATGAAAAATAAATGGAGAATGTGTCTATGGGCCACAGATGCCCACGCTTGTAAATATGCATGAGTCAACTTCCACATACAGATGCAGGATTCAACTAGTTAAGAACGTTTTGAGATTATAAACATTGTGTATAAGTTTCATAACATTTGGTTGAGGCAAACTAAAGTTAGAGAACGGAAATGATAGATTTAGCAATTTGTACATTTAAAAAGGGGCATAACTCAAGAACAGTAAAAGTGTAGCCACCCAATTTCTAAATTGATCTGTGTTTTCTGGTAATAAGCATTGTGTATAAGTTTCATAACATTTGGTTGAGGCAAACTAAAGTTAGAGAACGGAAACCAATTTTGGGGACATACAGGACGTACAAGGGTTACACTTAATGCCCCCTCCGCTATGGTGGGGGCATAATAAAAATATTTACAAAATTTGCTGTGAATACTGTCTTTTGGTCATAAACAAGCTTCTGTCCAAATTTCATAAAATTAAATGAAGGTTTGACAAAGTAATTGTATAAAAAAAACTTTAATCACAGAGTAAGCCTGAATGTTAATGACACAGCCGCCCCCAACGACAGCATCTAAGACCGCTATGTCTTGCTTTCACGACATGAATGTTGCAGGCTAAACAAATAGAGAATGTAATGGAAATTTAAATTGTCTCCCAAGTTAAATTTAACTTAATATAAAAATGAAGAGATGTGATATAATTGACAATGAGACAACTACCCATCAGAGTTAAAATGAAGTGGTAGTAAGCAATTATAGGCCACTGTGTTTCTATGTTAAGCACTGACAGAATCATGCTATTTTAATATTTTTCAGATGAATTCAGGTTAAATAAGATAGCACACCTTGTCATGCTAAACGTATCCCCACTCATAATTTAATATATGAAAAAACAGAAGTAGGTGTCTAACAGAGCTGAAATTGACTCACACATAACAATTCATTACTGCAAAGCAGCCGTCTAAATATGAAGTCATTCTTTTCAGTACTACCTCTGACAGAAAAGTGTGATAGAAATATTTGTTTGACAAATGGATGGATGGACAAGGTGAATGCAATATAGTCCCCACTCCTAAAGAAGAGATATAATATATATATAAAGGTTGTGTTTCAAAAGTATAATTACAACATTATTACAATGAAACTTTTCTAATCTTGTTTGCTCATCATAATTATTATGATTAGTACAAAATGTTGTGAAATTTTGCCCTTTCTCAATATAAATGAAAACAAAAACTGTACTAAACATTTTCAATCTAGTACAATATTGAATTCACACTTTATATATAATTAAGGAACTTGTAACTGGATCAGTAATTCATGTAATTAGGAACGAGTAATTTACGCTTAGGAAAAATGTAAATTTTCTAACTGCCACAGTTCATTTCAAATCCTAAATTGATTAAACCAGACAATAAAATTCTTCTAAATGCTGATTAATTCTGTGATTAAGATAATGGAATTTTTATTGTCTAAATCGATAACATTTATGAAATTACCTTGAATCATTTAGTGAACTCATGGAAACGTAACCAGAGAATTAATAAGCTTCCAAGGTAGAAATAGACAAAAATATAACATGAACAGCCACAACCTATAATCCCTGATTGATCAAGTTATTCTTAGTTAACACGTAATAATAACATTAATAAGAACTAAATGAGTTTGTGCCCTGTATATGCATGAAATATTTGCCACTGAACATAAAGCGATCAATAAATAATCACTGATTTCTTTAACTTAAAGGAGAAGGTATGATAATGCCATAATTTTTGGCCATTTGAAATCAAAAAGTAATATAATCAATCAATTACATTTCATAAATAAACTGTTAACACAGAGATATGTCTCGCCTTTTTGTAATTTTGATAATGCAAATGTTGAAATTAAAATAGCAATACTTTAACATGTAAGTAATGCAAATACTCAATGTCAATGAACCATGACTGAAGGTACATCGCTAAACAATCTCCATGGAAATGAGATGTGCCAATTCTAATACAACTGCATACCAAATACCATTGACTTATCATAAGTCGTTCCCTTTAAACATAACTAAACACAAGCATTAACTTGTGAACTATGTTAAAATTTCAAGGTCAATGAACCATGATGAGGGGTTGGGGCTATATAATATCCATCGAAATGAGACTTGCAACTGCCAATAAATTTGCATACTAAATATCTTGATTTAACATTAGCAGTTCATCTTAAACTGATCTAATCACAAACTAATACATGTAAATTTAGCAAAAGTTTCAAAGTCAATAGACCATGACTTAGGGGGCAGGGCCAAATATTCTCCATGGAAATGAGATGTGCTAATGCTTATACAACTGCATACCAATTAACATTGGCCTACCAATAATGGTTCCCCTTGAACTGACCTAATCACAAACTAATACATGTAAACTAAGCAAAAGTTTCAAAGTCAATAGATCATGACTGAGGGGGCGGAGCCAAATAATCTCCATGGAAATGAGATATGCCAATGTTTATACAACTGCATATCAAACATCATTGACCTACCACTAGTGGTTACCCATAAACTGACCTAGTCACAAACTAATACATGTAAACTAAGCAAAATTTTCAAAGTCAATAGACCATGACTGAGGGGCAGGGCCAAATAATCTCCATGGAAATGAGATGTGCCAATGCTAACACAACTGCATACCAAATACCATTGACCTACCACCAATGATTCACCATAAACTAGACCTAATCACAAATTAATACATTGTTGATGCACACTGCCGCCGCCTACACTGGAAACAGCATACCTACATTGAATGTCTCGCTTTTTGACTCTGTCAAGGCGAGACAAAAACTGCAAAATCTGTCAAACTAGCCTCATTCTGAGATCTTGTCACTAATATTCAGATATGGGCCAATTAAGGCTTTACCAGAAAAGATTTTTTTCCACAAGATGTTTTATTTAATGTTGGTAAACTTTTTTTTTGGGTAAGGCCTTAGCTCATTTCTAATTTTAACAAAATATTAGTGTCAAATTATTTTTTAAGTCAAATACGTCAATTTCAACATGTTTGAGACATCACAACTGACTTTTCTGCACTGAAGTCTTCAGATTATATATATCACATTATTAATTTATAAATAACTACATTTGTAAAAATATAATTTCGAAAGAATAAAGAACTCTACCACTTTAATAAATTCAGGGACCAAATAATGGCTTGTACCATACCTCCTTTATCTAATTATACATTTGTACTTGTAATTAGGCTTTAATTCAAAGATATGTAAAGAGGATTCCTTACAAAGAAAGCTTAAAATAAATATACTGGACAATGCAACCCAAAAATTGGAATTATTGCTCTTTCAATTTAGGTATATAGATACTAAACTTAAAATACAATTGATTTTTGTAGTGAATCAGCCTCAAACATGTCAAAGACTTGAAGTTTAAAATAATTTAATCCATGAATAAATCAAAACTTGCAGTATTTTACTTAGTATATTCTAAATTCACTCCATTCTAAATATCAGATGAAATGTTTCAACTTGTTCATTTCAAATTCTCAATCATTATAAAATTCTTGAAACTTTAAAAACATACCAATTAATAAAAGAAGAAAAAAAAAAAACAAAATGGCAGCCTCCATAGATGCACAGTTGACTACAAAGTTTAGCAATGTCTTACTAGAGTAATCAAATATGTAACATGTCAAATGATTAAAGTGTATCTAATAACTTTATAACAGATTATCTAGGGGATTAACATGTAAGTGGCTTTGGTTTTATAATTCCTTGCACATGTAACAGTCCTCTGTAATCGCTATCCATATTATTTGGGAAAGGAGAAAACATGATAAAAGACTTTATTGAACCCTGTGATTACAAGTCAAACTTGTTGATCTCCTCAGAACAAAGATTTTATTGATAATAATAGGATGATAAAGTGAATATGACGAGGATGTAAACAACTTTAGGACATTGTATGGTTTTCAACAATGAGCAAAACACATATTGTATAGACAGTTTAGTAAGCTATAAAAGGCCCTCTTATTTTTATTAAAGTGCAGAAACAACATTTGTGGTGTCACTGTGATGTTATAACATGTGAAAATTGACTTCTTGGTGTTTTAACTAGAAGGTCATTTAAATCTCAATTTGGTAAAATCAAATATGACCAACAGTATACAAGATCTTATTGCAAAATATAAGCCTAACTTGCTCATATCTAAATAGTAATTACATGATCTCAAAATGAGGCATTTTGGAGTTTTAGCAGTTTTCCTTA